TGACCAGTAAAGGAATTGACGCAGTAAATATTAGAAATATTCTTAATAACTAAAAGGGTAGTCTTGTATTCCACCATATTTCAAGTTGAAGTCCACGCCTTTTATTTCTTACAAATGTACATCTATTATTGCTTCCAAACTTTTCCCAAAAAACTCAGAATGGATTAAAAATATCAGGTGGATGTTGAAATATCCCATTAAGCGGCTGAGGGACAAAGTGAAAAAAGAGATAGATTACATAATAATTTGGTCCCAGTTGACAAAGCAGGTACATGCAACAACATTGTCATTGTTTGTAAGACTCACAGTAAGCGATTGAGGGGCAATATGAAAGCCATCTATCATTCTGTGTTCAATAATTCAGAAGTGAAAAAAGAATAAGATATATTACTCGACCAGTATGTACTGGTACCAGCTGACAAAGCAGGTAACAACAGTGTCTTTATAAGTCTCATTATTTCAATTGTATTTTAGAGGATCTTGGACTTATGAGGTCATTCAAAAAGTTCGTAGACTTTTGTCATAACTTTTTTATTTTACGTCATATTACAACCAAATTTATTACACATATTTTAACAACAGATGCAAATAATTTGAATAAAAAAAATTGGAATTTATCTTAATATTTACCAAAATTATCAAAGATTTAAGACAACAGAAATGGGGTCACGGAGCAGAGTCAAAATTGAGTTATTTACTAATTTTACATTTTATTATGTTTATAGCCATACCTCTAATGAATGGTGCTTAAACAAAATAAAATTTGAATGTTTAAATTAAGTATTGTTCTATTACTTCAGATGCTTAAAGGTAATGTAATACATCGCTTTGTTTAAAAGATATGAATTTCTAAAGACAGATAGACTTGAATTAAAAAAAAGCAAAAAAGCATGAAGTCGAAGGACGTCACGGAGCAGCGAGTAGCAATAAAGTTTTGTTTTGCATTCGGGAAACCTCTAAAACAAACTCTTAAAATGCTGGAGGAACTAGGAAATATATTTTAAAAATGAGCTGTGGATTTGTATATAATGGAAAAGACAATTTTTTGTGTGGGAGAGACTTTGAATCGGACGATGGACGGTCTGCGAAGAAACAGATTATAGTTAAAAATCTTATCAAAAGACATGAAACGTCATGTGCTCTTCACTGTTGTGGAACTTTTGAAAGCAGAGTTACGCGGTAAATAATTTGAAAGCATTGAAAATCCAACTTCAGCTACTCGAACAATTGTTAGCAAACTTGGTGTCAAGTGTTATGGATACGTTTTTAACGATTGGGAAGACGTTACAAACCGTGTATGAAATGAAAAGGCAGAGCAATTTTGAGAAACTTTCTCGAATTTGTTTTTGACGTTACAATGTTGTTAACCGTGCCCTTTGGTGACAAAACATGTTGCTTTTAAAATTGGCTAACATGAGTTCCATTTAATCAAATGGAATGAAACATCACCTATCGACAAAATAAATGTTTTAAAATAGGAAAATGTGTTGATCTTTAATCTTGGAAAAATAATATGATGAAGAGGAACATTGTCTACGTATTTTTTTAATGACCCTCGTACTTCTGCAAGTTGTAATCCACTTTATACCTACTGTTCCATTTCTAAGGAGGAAATTTTTCAAAATCATATGTCGGTTTAATTTTTTTCTTTAAACTAGACTTTGACCCGTGCGTGCACGGGTTGACATTGTTATGAATGCATCCATGTGCATATCGGACATTTACAAAATATTGATATTGTAAGGTACTTTTGAGATAAACAATGAATGTGAATATAACTCTTTTTTTTTTGTTTTGTTTTGTTTTGCTTTTTTTGTTTTTGTTGTTTTTTTTGCAAAATTGTTGCGTAATGGCGTAGCGCAGAATGGCTTTGACCATCAGTTAGCTATAAATCAGGTCATGAGTTAGAATCACGCCGGAGCTTACATAAATTTCACCTTTCCAAACAAATTTAATAAAAGAAATTATGGATATTCATTGAAAATATGACAACAACAAAGAGTTCAGCACTGCTGATACCTATAAAGCGTACTTACCATGACAACCTTTACATATTTAGAAGAACAGGCTGTCCCTTCTATATAACGTACTGAAGATCAATAACAATAATTTACATATTTCACCCACTTTTTTTGAAAGTTAAAGAAATTTTTAGAGGTGAATTTAGATATAAACAATAGATTTAAAATGCTTTCTTTGATGGTTCACGTGGGAAATGCACGGCGCAAGCATTGCAGAGGAAGTTCACCGTATTGTTGACAGACCAGGGTCAGAGGTCATTACATGTATTTACATAACAACGCTATAAGCCTACAATAATGCTATTGATTTCACTGCACTTCTTAGAAATATAATGTGAATTTTTTGCATGGAATCAAATATTTCTTTGCCCTTAGTTTATGTTTCATATTTACCGCGTTATAAATTTCAGCAGTTAAGGTAATAGTAAACATGGCGAACAAATTCAAGTTGCAATCATTTAGACACATTTCAAATTGAAAATATGGGTTATATTGACGTTATTTAATTACTTCGATTTGTTTCAAAGTTAAGAAATGAAAATAATGTTATTGTAATTTTTGGTGGAAAAAGAATGCTTACTTCACTAAGATGTGATTCTAGCTGGAGTTGTAACCCCCCCCCCCTTCCCCTCAAAAAAAGCATAAAAGAAAGGAGGGATGAAATAAAATCGGGTAGTTACATTAATATTGCTCCTACGATCATGAGCTTTTTGCCCCCGTTGAGATGGCCAGAGACATAAATAACATATAATAAATGTGTCTCCGAGATGGCGAATTATTACCCACGTGGCCACAATATCACATTTGTATGGATAACCTCGGAAAGATAATACAAATACGTGTAAATTTTCATTGGAAATTTGCTCTATATTCTGTTCATATAAATTATATTTATGATTTCTTATATATATTTATGATTTCTTATTTTCTTATTTCTTATTAGAGAAATTATAAAATAACAAATATATAATTATCTACTTGGTGCTTCTTTTGTCTTCTCTGATTTGAACACCGTGATTTACCGTGAATGTAATGCGCACGCGCAAGATTGTAAAATCCAAAAAATCCAGATGATTTCCGGAATTTTTTGTGGAATTTTCGCTGATTATTAACTAGCGAAGGCTAATTGAGAAAAAATAAAAACAAATTGGTAATCTTCAAGTACCAATTATGTTTAAAATATATATATAAAAAAGACAGTACTCTTCCGATTTATCGGTATTAAAGGCCAAAAATTCGAGTCTATTATTTTAATATAGTAGTATAGATTCCCAACAATCAAAATAAATTTGAATTACCATACCTATACTCTATTCCTTAACTACATAAAAATCCTTACAAAGATACATAGTGGGTTTCAGTAAATGTTCTACGAAGGCTCTTTCTTTTCTCTTCACAAAAATTTTAACAGCAGTGAAGGAAAAACTTCAGGAGTACTGTACTACAATATATTCAAGAAGTTGTAAAATCAGATGTGGATATTTAAAAACTCAAAGGAAAGTTTGAAATCACAAAATTTTAGCGAAATCATTGACTTCAAAACGTACGACTTTTTAAAACTCCCAACGACCATTCCACATGATAAATTAAAGTCCAGGCTTTTTGACATCATAGACAGCTTCTTTTTTCAGTAGAAAAGGAACTATCAAATTTACTCATCTTGCCATGGATCATCTGATTAATTATTTTCTTAGAAACATTCTGATCGTACATGCAAGAACTCCGAAGTTGATATTAAAAAAGATGCTCGAGTTTCTGATTGACAGTATCTATAAATATATAGTTTTTGGAGATCAAGTCTTCCAACAATCTGTCGGATTCCCATAGATACTAATAGCGCCCCTTTATTAGCAGACCTATTTTTGTATTCAGATGAACCAGAATTTATTGAAAAAAATCAACATGGAAAAAGGAAGTTTCATGTTATGGCCTTCAATTCAACGTTTAGATAAATCGACGATGTACATGTATTATCAATTGACAATATTTATTTTCATTCCTACGTTAATTTGATATATCCCTTGTAATGCGAAATAAAAGATACTACAAAGTCTGACACATCGGTTTCATATTTGGATATTTTACTTGAAAAAGACGTAAATTGTAACCTAACAACAAAACTTTATGATAAACGTGATGACTTCAACTTTTCTTAACTCCATTATTTATGTAGCAATACACCTGCATATGGAGTTTATGTCTCTCAGTTGATTCGAAACGCTAGAGCGTGCTCTCCATACGAACAGTTTCTAGAAGGAGGCAATTGCAAGCTATTGACAAATAAAGTGATAAAACAAGAATATTAACAGTCGCGATAAAGTCAACATTTTGCAAATTCTATGGTCGATACAATGATTTTGTCAGCAAATGCAGTCATTATTCTCACACAGAATTGTCTACGGATTTTCCGTTTGCCTGATCATGACAAGGAGCACTCGGCGGGTATGACCGGTTGACAAGGGATACTTATTCCTTCATGACACCTGATTCCACCTCTAATGTTTTAAGAGGTCTGTGAATGCTCTGTTCCAAATTTTTACTGTTTCAATGGACTTTGAACTTGATTACTGTTCGTTATCTTCATATTTCATTTCAAAATATATCAACAGACACCTGATATAACCATTAGAATTTATTGTTTGCGACCTCGCATATATTTTTGATTTATTTTATAATTGGTAATCTCGCTTACAACACACTCTGCATGCTCGCCTGCTCCATTTCATTGTCATCTGAAGGGAGACAGCACAGTTGTCATCCTGCCTGTGACATGCTCTAAACCAATCAAATCGACCACCTTATTCTGAAGGATAAAAATATTAATTATCCCACGTAATGCTGCGTTTTTATTTTGATTTATTACTTTAGGTTTTTGAAGATGGTTCCTTACAATGCTTTTCCATACCAAACTACCTCAAATAACAACTTTCGTATAAAGTGCTTTGCTTATTATACGTAACACTGTCTTTATTTTGACAGAACCAAACACAGAAAAGAAAGGTGACCAGAAAATAATATCTGTTGCAATAGATGTTGGAACATCATATTCTGGATATGCTTACTCTTTTCGAAGCTCGCCAAATGAAATTTTCACAAACAAATGGGATACACATGCTTACGAAGGGTTTTCACATAAAGCACCCTCTTCAATCCTTCTTGATTCTACATACAATTTCAAGGCTTTTGGATATGAAGCGGAACTGGAATACTCAAGACTTGTTTCAAATCAAGAATCAGAAAAATATTTGTTCGTAAAGAATTTCGAAACAAGACTAATGAATGATAAAGTATGTAACTTGAGACCCTAAATATAAATCATTTAATCGTAATTTTAATATAAGCACGTAAAAATCATTGTAAATAAATATAACAGATTTTGTGCATTTGTTGAGAGAGGATATAGTCTTGTCTTAATATAAATGTTATATGTATGTTTTATTTCCAGGGACTTGATAGAAATCTCCTTGTTCGAGACGTCTTGAAACGGTATGTTCCAGCACACGGTCTTTTCATCGAAACCATTCGGTTCCTCAAAAGGCACTTTTTAAAAGCATTGGTTTCTGTAAGGGGACTCGATTTTAAGGAAGACGATATCCAATACGTTCTTACAATTCCTGCAATTTGGTCTGATGTGGCGAAGCAGATTATGAGAGAGTCGGCGAACTTTGTAAATACACGCTCTTACTCATTTATACCATTAAGATCTAACATAGCAAACTATATGATAAAATATTTTCATGTTAAAACTGTCATTCAATTTAGGCTGGTATCAAATGTCAGAACCTTGAACTGGCTTACGAACCAGAAGTAGCAGCCCTCCATTGTAGAAGTATTCCTCTAGAGAATTTATGCGGATCTTCAAACAGTTTACAAGAAATGCTTCAGCCAGGAAGGAAGTTTGCTGTACTGGATTTAGGAGGTAATCTAAAGAAACAAGAATTTGCCTATCAATGTGTATACCGTGTAACGTGTATATTCAGCGGTTGTCCATTTTTTACGGAATTTTACGAAAAATGCAATCGCAAAATATTCATAAACTACTAATCCAGATATTATGTAAATGCATCATCTTTAATTTATTCTCAAATGTGGTAAGTGGGGCTGACGTCAAAGTAGTTTTTAGCCTGACTTAGCCTGTAATTTTATAGCTTATAAGTTTACAGTTATGAAATAAATTGCTTACTAGTGTAAAAAATAAATGTTATTTGAACACCAAGGTAGTTGAGTAGCAGAGCTTATTTTTAGTTATGAATCTCCCTGACCACGATCAGCATGTCAATATTATAGCAAAATACGTAAAACGTTGCAGTATTTACCAATTTTGATACTCAGTAGCCATATCCCGTTACGATTTTTTGCGGCATAATGCAACCGCAGGAAATAAAAAACGCAGAAATTAATTTGCTACCTTTAAGGGGTGAAATCGCAAAAATTTCCACCCGCGTAAAATACCCGTTATACGGTATATAGAGAAAGAAGTGTAGACTTGATTGCGCCTTTTAATCTATGGATTGTAAAACAGGTTGCTCAAAGGTCTAAAAGGTGAATATCAAAATTACTATCATCGGCCACAAAATTTACATGCTTTATAACAAGAAACAGAGATTTTCAAAATCTAAAGAAATCACTTTAGAAGTATATGACAAGCATAGCCTCATCTTAGGGTCATCCTAAGGAACAACAGATGGTTGTCCATATCCCAAGATTTTTAAAGGTGTATTTAATTTTTTATAATAAAACATAATTATATTCCCCGCTCCTGGACTAAAACGCAAAGGTCAAGGATTGAAATCATGAACATATTATGATTATAGTTACAAAAAGTTTCCCTTGTTAGATATCCTTGAATAAAATTGGAAAGGACAAAGAAAGATATTATTTTTTCCAATATCCACCTTCGGGTCAATTTTTAAATTATCTCAAACTATTGAAAAATCATGCAACTATAATGATGTTTTATTTAAAAAAATCTAGGGGTTGGTAAGATAAAATAAGTAAAGGATTTTATTGCTATAAAGATACCATGCAAGTTTTATTGAAGATAAAGGATATAATTATTTATCGTATATACTCACACATCTTTTCTGGTGACAAGTTCTTGTCTAAATTTAAAGTCACTCAAAAGAGTCTGTTTAATTCTGTTAACAAATCATTTTCATATTCAACAGTACTAAAAATCCTGTGATATTTAAAGGATTCATTTTAATTGACAAAATTTTTTAAATCCTCTATTACAAAGAGTTGTAATAAAGAACAACTAATTAATTAGTGCTGATATTAGAATTTATCAATGAATTACTAATATGAAAAAAAAAACCCCTCCAAAATATTTGAGACATGCATGAGTGAAATTTAGGCTGTGATCGAAGTTAAGGAGGCGTAGATCTTTAAAAAGTACATGTAATATAGGTTTTCCAGCATATAAAACATGGACCTCGTCCTCGGCCGAAATCCTGAATTAAGGAGACCAACTTGAATTAAAAAATTAGGAAGAATGAAATATTAAGATAACGAACAGTTATCAATCTCAAAAGTCCATTGAAACAATGCAAATTTGGACCTCTAAAACATCAGAGCTGGGATCAGGTGCCATGGAGGAGTAAGCATTCATTGCATAAGGAAAAATATTTCCACAAGGAAAGACAACTAAAGCATTGTTATTGGTATAGTCAATTTCTTTTATCCATTTAAATAAATATGTTCTTAAGAAAAACAAGAGAGAGATTTGTATGAAGTGAAGTATATTAGTGCCTTAATTAATCAGGATCACATTAATTAGATATGCGTGATAAATGTGGCATCATTAATTCTCTGATAAATAAGAACAACCACAAATAATTCTTTATCAGTTACCTCTATTCCAAACAGTATGATTGCTATTAACAGCTGACAAAATTTATGGTGTAAATAAACAAAAAACATGAGTAGAGAAAATTTGGCAGGATTTATCAGCTTCTGGTAAATTTCAATCTCTTGCAGTTTAAAAAGTAACATGTGTTTCTCACGAAATGTAAGGAAAAATAATGACTTTGACTGTGATATCATATAGGGTTAGTTAACCATGCATCGGACACATACCTTGCTTCGGACAACTTTCAGCAATAAACTTTCATTGAACCCGAGTCTTGTTTCTGTCTTAAAGGTAAAGATACAAACTTTTTAATGATGCCGATTTTTATTTCCATGTTGTGATAAAAATACCACAAGAATGGCCTTGAAATTACGTCATATTTTGCATCATCAAAGGGGAGTAACCAGAATTTTACGATTTTGCAATTTTTAGAGTTGTCGCTCTTTTAAATAGACTTCAACGGAACGAGTCGGACCTAGGTAAAATTTATCAATGATTGATAATTTTACAGAAATTTTTCAAAAATTTTACTTCAATGTTTGTAAAATAATTTTTAGAGTTGTCTTTTACTAGTATGTTTATTTCACCGTACATCGGACACAAATTAACCATGCATCGGACACTTTCCGATGCATGGGTAATCACTTCCATTTTCATGTAAAACCCAAATGACAGCTGTTTTTTTACGGAAATAGAAAATAGAAACTCTAAATTTTCAGTGAAAATACAAATTATCGATATATGACGACTAGAAGTGGACTCAATTTACTTCTTTAAACTAGATGATTTTAACCCACGAGACAAAGGCGCGAGTTGCCATATTACTAGCATTGTAAAGCCTTTCTAAGGCGATGTGATGCAACTAAAATCTCTTCATATTTGTGGATCGAAATAGTCATTCAAATTTAATTAGAAGTTTAATTTTTTAATAAAAGATAAAAATGTTTCGATATCAGTAATTTTAAAGAACCGAGATCAAGGTATGATATTTTTCTGGTATAAATATCGTATGTCCGATGCATGGTGAATATTGTCCGATCCATGGTGAATTCTGACTTATTTCGAAAAAATCGGTTTTTAATGATATTTTCTCAATAAATAGGGCACGAATGTGTCAAAAATTTATAATTTAACCACATACTACATGTTAAGTTCCATTTTGATAATATTCGGTCGGTAGCGATATCGATAGAACTTGTTGAAGTGCAAGGGTGTCCGATGCATGGTGAATTCACCCTACCTACAGAGCTGTGTAGAAAGGAACTATACCACACCTGCATATACTCTTCAACTGAAAGCATCCAATAAAAGCATTTTACAAACTTTCCCATATATATCTAGCCATTTTGTGCAACAGGTAACCGAAAAAATACATTGGCATCTACTTACAAGCTTTTCTGATCGCTAGATCAATGAAAGTGGGTCAATCTTCACGACACAACTACTCCCTTGCACGTGCAAAAATGTGTGTAAAATCGAGAGGTGCTGTTTTGACACTTTTGACACTTTCATGTACAATACCACATACCAGAATGAAAAACCTCTTCCAAATTTTCAGTTTCATGTAAAAAAAAAAAAACAAAACATTTGTTTTTCAACTTTTTCGCAATTTAAAAATCTTGCTATTATAGATTGAAAAACAAAAGTTTACCTCTTTCTTCAAGTTGAACATTTCTCTCGATTTTCACGTCTCGCATCTTGGTCTCCTCGAAATCTCGTGATGAAAGCTGTTAGGGCGTTTAAGGAATTTTTTCATATTTCAAGTTGTGTATCTCCGAATTATGATTTATGAATTCCGATTTATGCTAATAAGGTTAGGAGATGTGAAGTAGTAAATAGGTTGCCAGATAAATGCGTTTGGTTCATCAAGATTTTTAAAATGGATATTGCGTTTTCAATGTATGACCAGTTTAAGTTTGCACTGGTCCTTAACCCTAAACCATTGGGAATTGAGTTTTTTAATAACTAAAGGTAATACTGCGTGCTATTTACCTTGGTTATTAATGATACAGACAGGCGTTTGAAGATTGATGAAGTTTTAATATGACTATCTTAATTTTGGTGAAGATCCTGAAACCAAGATATGAATATTACAATTTTTGGAGGACAGCTTACTAAAAGATTTCTATGAACAACGACGACGTTTTCAAAAGATATAATGCATTTTAATATGTGACTATCTTGGCCAAAATCCCGAACAGAAAGTCAAGAATTTCTAAATTTTTCTTGGAAGCGATATGATCATTATTACAATGAAAACATTTTTCTTGCTAAAGGTTTAAAAGTAAAGATGAAATTGTTTAATGATACATGTATAATGGGTTTTTAACAGATGACCAACAAAGTATCTCCTTGGGTGATAAACCTTGGAGCCAGGGGTCCCGACTTTTAAGTGTACAAATCTGATTGAAGATTGACCACTCATTATTATACTGCAAACATTTTCTTGCTAGAAGTATAGAGGATAAAGGTTGCATAAATTTTCAATAATTTTGACTCAGCTTATGTCGCCCTATCTGTCGCCCCCTCCCACCACCAAATAAGAAAGTCGCAAGACGGAACAAAAATGATACAAGACAATAACTGACAGAAATTTCTTCTGAACTACTTGAAGGATTTCAAAAGCTATGAAAATATACTTAATATGATAATTGCTAAACGCAAATAATTAAAACCCTTTCTGCTGTATAATAACGTTTTATTTTGGGATCAAATTTTTGTGGTTTGAGGAAAAAATTGAGATTCGATGGAACTTCACTACACTGATTCGACCACGTATTCCGTGGTTGAAGTAGTGTAGCGTTACCTCATTAAAAAAAATTAGTATGTTCTTCACACTAAATAGGTGGCACAGCAGACATGACTGTTGAACAGAATACACTGGACGGAAGGCTGAAGCATGTACTTAAAGCATCTGGAGGTTTGTGGGGAGGAAATCGTGTTAATGAAGAATTTTGTAGCTACATATCTGAAGCAATTGGTCAGGATATATTCAATACCTTTATGACAGAAAACATTTGTGACTTTCTTTATCTAAATGGCCAGTTTGAAACAAAAAAGAGACACGTTACCAAACATTCGACAGATAAAATAATAATGCATCTACCTGTTACATTATCTGAAACTTACACTGAAAAATCAGGCAAACTTCTTGCAAAAACCATAAAAAATACGATATACAGTAAGGATATCGATGTAAACAGGGGAAAAATTGAAATATCTGCAGAAAAAGTGCGTTCTTTTTTTACAAAAACAGTACAGGGGATTGTTGATCATGTACGAATGGTCATGAGCAAACCAGAATGCAAAGACATAAAGCATATTCTGATGGTGGGTGGCTTTTCAGAGTCACCTTTGGTTGTTGAAGAAATTCGTGCTCAGTTTCCAACAAAAAAAGTTATAAATCCTGTTGACTCCAGCTTATCTGTTCTGAAGGGTGCTGTTCTTTTTGGGTTCAATACCGAAGTTGTTACGGCAAGAGCTTGTCCTCTTACTTACGGAATATCTCTCTATGACTCTTTTGACAAAACGAAACACGATATTTCGAAATCAGTAATGATGGGAAAGGAAAGAGTTGTCCTTGGATGTTTTGAAAAGATTTTTACGATTGATGAAATAGTTGATGTTGGAACTAAAAGATCTATTAACGTTTATGAAAGCTACAAAGGACAACCTGAGGCTCTGAGAAAGACAAATAAAGAAATAGAAATCTTCTCATCATCTGAACCCAATCCACTGTATGTAACCGAGTTAAATTGTTCTCGTCATGGACGAATCATAGTACCACCACCAAATAACAGGTGGCCTGACAAGGTAAGAGGCAGGATTGAATTTGAATTTGGACCAACTGAACTTATTGTTCGATACGTTGACAGAGACACTGAGTATATTGTTACAGGAAATGTAGATTTCCACGCAACAAAAACTGAACTGGATTTGCTGAGCTCCTCAGTAAGAAAATCAGTACAGTGAAACCTGTCTAATCCGACATGCATTGGGAGCAAAAAATTGTGTCGAAATAGATAGGGTTTCGGATTACACAGCGTAAAGAACTTGGAAAATAGTAAAATGGAAATGAAAGTAAAGATCGGACTCCACAGGGAAACGGATTGTACAGGTGTTGGATTAGACAGTTTTCACTTTATAATGAAGAGAACATGACATTTAAAAAAAATTTAATTTTTATATCTGTTTCAAGGTATTTTTCACATAAGTATGAAAAATACACAAAAGACTAGAACTATTTTATTAACATTAGGATCTTTTTAAAATAAAAATGCCGCTTGTTTATTGACATGCTTTGAACTGAACTAACTTAGTGAGTAATAAAGCTGAACCATCCATCATTAAACTATGATCTTATTTTTATTCTCTCTATGCTTCATGAACTGTAGATTTATGTGTCATATTTTAAAAGAATATAGACTGCACATTAGAATGTGATATTTTGCCAATATCTTTATATTTTAGATGTCATAAAATGCAACGTTTTATTTTTGTCACTATTCCTTTATATAGGAAATACATGTAGTAAGTAGCATGAATTAGCTATATATTTGTTAGTTTCATCTTTATAAAATTTCTTATTTTCGATATTTATGAATCATAAAACTGAATATATTTTGTTGAAAAGAAAGGTCACAATATACATACAAGGATGTATTTGCAGAGGTATGCACAAGATCCATAAACTTGGAAATATATAATTTTACTTTGCATAAATCAATACATTTTAGAACGCTTTGGAACCCAATCTTCGGTGTTTTTGTATCATTCAATTTCCAAAGAAGTATGAATAAAGAGCTCTTCATTTTCATTGTATTATGAACTACATCATAGAATGAACATTTTATGTCATCAGGAAAAACTAAAAACAGAAACAGCTACATGTATTTGTAAATAATTTATGTTGAAAGAAAATGGTATGGTATCCAGCAAAACTTGCCAAAGAGCATTCTTCAGTGAAAAAGATTCAGTTTATTTCAAAAGAAAGGTTACACCCTTTTGAAAGGATATAATTCAGAAATAGTGAAATATTTTGAAAATACACATGCAGTACATTGTATTCAGCCAAAGGCGTTATTATATAAATAGTGCACGTTTTTGGGGGTAACAGTTGAAATTGACACCCCAAGGAAACCATTGTCAACCGACGCGTCAGCGGAGGTTGACAATGGTTTTCCGAGGGGTGTCAATTTCAACTGTTACCCTCAAAAACGTGCACTATTTATTTTATTATACTGAATGTCTTATTGATTTCGGATGTCATAAAAATAATCGCATATCGTCGTTAAGTTCACACTTAGAAAGCTTTCAAACTCCCCGCTTCTATTTTTCTCAATAAGAAAGCTTCGGAAAAGATTTACCAACCTCTTTATTGTTTGTTTGCTACTCAAAAAGTCCTTTATCATCTAAAGTTTGCACTTGCAAGGAAGTTTCGTCTGTCATTTGTTGTTTTCAAGTAAGCTACATCGGACGCAAGCTATTATTGACGTCGTTTATTTGGCTTCTTTCAAACGTACAACCGACGTTTTGAGAATTCTACGGTGAACCGTAGTACCGTACGCACATGATTTGAAGGCATGTGACATTTTCGTAATGTTACCCGTTGTCAAGTGTGTTGCTAACGCTGAGGGTAACATTTTGGATTGTTAAATGCGTCTAAACCAATCAGATTTTAGTATTTAACATGAAAGTATAATAAAAAAGGAATACACAACCAAATGAATTACATATACAGTATTGAATTCTGTATTGTCACAAAGGTGAACACTCTGGACCCATGAACTTTGTGATTATTTGACTGTATTTTTTTAATGGAATTTTAATTTTGTTTCTGGAAGCTGTGATGTTACCTGATATACTTTATCATATTTAAATACGGTGTCAGGCAATGCAGTATAGCTTTGGTCTTAGGCAGTGTAGTTTTTTATGTTAATCTTGTAGGTTTTATGTAATAAGCAGCGACGTTTTGTTTTCCTTTTTTAACTCCTGGAGCAATCTGCATACTTCATACTTAGAAAAAATGACAGATTTTTTAAAAAAAAAGAAAAGAAAAGAAAAGAAAGATATTAAGCCTTTTGCATGGAAAAATTTAGTTTATGCCCCTCCCGTCATATCAGTTCATTTTTCAATTAAAACATAACTTTTGTTCCCACATGATGAATTTCTTTATAATGATATACACTCTTCGAGCAAAGTCAATAACAAAGAAAGAGAATGTACTGTTGTAAATGTTAGGAGGAATATTTATCAAAATTTACCAAATGTTCGAGTCAGAAAATGTTTCTGCAGCTAAATAAGGGATTCAGCGAAGACATTTGATAATATCATAAAATGAACAATATATAAGGTCTTCACATTCTATACAACTTCTTTAAACAGTAAAGAAAAGAGTTCCTTCAACAATCGAAGATTAATCTGGAAAGCCATCAATATATCTAATGTTTTTGATTTGTTATACCGGTCCGCTCACAATTATTGTATTGTTATAAAATACTAACTGTACATTGTGTGAACATACCTGTAATTAAAAGATGAACATGTTTCAGTTAATAAAATGATATATTCATTTTTTTTTGTTGACATGTAATATTTGTATTCTAACATTTGTTTTCATATATTATACAAATGCATTTTAATGTATTCATATTGTCATTCTTATTGATATCTCCTGCAAATTATTTCCAATAGATATTTAATAAATTTCTGATTATTGTCAATATAGTAGAGACTGTATTATTCTCATGCATGCAAATATACATTGGCACTGTGATTTGTCATTCATGATCTGGCCAACACGCGTTTTACCTTGTATAGACTCTTGTGATTTTTTATCGGTCATTTTGTATATTCGGTTCTTGTACTAGGTATGATCAGCTGATGTTCAATGACAACTCGATAAGATCACTGTGCAAAGAAATATTCCAAATATGTAACAATTGAAATTGATGTTTAGCAATTTTATTTAACAGGAACAAAGACATCCTAAAGTTTAGAATTATTTAGAAATAGCGGAGTCTAAAATTATTTAACTTAAGAGGCTATGGCTATGAGTTTTCGTGTCACATGTAAGCAAAAGTTCCAAAAGTGATTTCTTTTTCGCACAAGTCAAGAGAAATTATGTAAAAAAATCGTAAACTAACTCCTAACAAATAAATTATAAATTTATATATAAAATATAATTAATATAAATAGTTGGAGGAAAACTGTTCAGGCAAACAAATAAATACGTGAAATGGAAGTAATACGGGAAACTTTGAAGGCCCTTCTTTGAGTCATACTCTCAGCACCCATCATCGTTGTCCAGGTTTAGGGCACTGCGACAGCTAGAAGGATGTGTTCTGGAAAAATGACTTTTCAAGCTTTGATGGCACTGTGACCTAAGAACAATTAGGCACCAAGCATCTTTCCACGCCCAACAAATGCAACTTAAACGGCGATTGGCGCAAATCGCCTCAATGTAACAATTACAAAGTTGTTTAATAATGTCAAACCTGTCAAGAAAAATGGGCCTTTCATTGCAGTAGTATCCTGCAAGAGGCACCTACAAAGTCATTTACACAGGTATGGAAATTCCAACATTCGGCAAAATGATCAGCAATCAATTAAAAATGTTCAAATTAGAATACATTTTTTTTTTTTATAAATAATTGACAATCTCAACTTCAGTTTTTTTGAAATGACGTGGTAGATGCATCTCATAGGGGTGTAAACCTTCCCCTGAACATTTCAAGGATGGACAAAAATGGGAAACATTGATCTTGGAGTTAGCATCGGCGCTACATACTCGCAGTAATGTACACTGTAGATGAAAAAAAAAGAACTTTAAAGAACCTTGTTGAACAAATTTTTATCACGCGTCATCAATTTTTAAAGTCATATATGGCGTATTTTTTTGATAAGTTCAGACTAACTAAAATTAAAAAGATCTTTCTATTTGTTTTACTACTTTATATAAAGATAGGACTTTTCTGTAAATTACACAATCTAAATCAATCACGTATCAAAGATATTAGAAATTTAAACCAATAACCGATTTATTTACCGACTCTGCATTTAATTAACAGACACAGTTTAAAGTCAATTTAACATGGAAACATAAGGTTATTCCAGTTCAAAATCGGTGAAAATTTTAATTCAAAGGTAAATAACATGTATCATGTTTGTCTACACTCAATCTCGTATTTTTTTAAAGCTCAGATGCGCCATATATAGCTTTAAATCTATTAATTTTCCACCTAGAAAATATCAAAACCAGACATTGACGCCATAGAAGAGATTATTAACAACAGTTTCAGCATAACGGGTAAATAGTTTTCCATATGAAATTAATCTTAACATTTTTTTAATTTTTCTTTATATCATATAAGGCTGGATTCAATCAGTTATCCTCTGAGTTGATTTCATGCCAATACAATGTTTCTAAGTAATAAGAACAGCATAAACAGTCGTTGCTATCCATATATAAAATTCGCTATTTTTTCCAATTTAAAAAAAAAAATATTAACTTTAACAAAAAATGTAAACCTATTTTTGGCATTCTTGACCACTTGTTAAATAAACTGAAAGGAAAGAGAAACGCAGGGTAACGTAAATTTTTTGACTGACTGGCCAAAAAGTTTGAGAACTGATCAAAGGGTATATTGGTTAATGTGCACTAAAATCGGTGTTCAGAATTAGAATTACTCAACTGTGAAATGTATGACGTCATGTAGGGAAAGTGGTAAAAAGCCAAGAACACGTGTATACATTGATGTTGACGGTTTTGTCAAGACATTTTGTAATACCACTTGATGCACTGGAAGTATATACATCGTTTTTCGTTTTTTACAGAGAATCTGAATTTTCTACAATCGTGGTACGGCTGACAGAAGTTCCCTTGGGTATGCCTATTGCATAACCAAAGTTAATAAAAAGTCAAAATCAAGTTGCTGTACAGTTTGTAGGGAATTTTTCCACTATAGAACATC